CCCTCCTTAGAAAATGTTCTCAGGAAGGAAGAGGGGCCGATGCGGCCTGACCTGCATGCACCAGGCCTTGCACACTACACCCCTGCCATCTGCCTTCCAGCTGGGAGAAATGAACAGTTAGGACAATGCTTGGTGGCCATTTTGGGAGGAATCACCACAAATTCATGAGGTTTACCGTCAGCATGTTCACATTCTAAGTGAAGATCGGAGAAAAACTCTTGCTTCCAGCACGGGAAAGATAAAGGAACCAGTTTGAAATATGCCGTGGGGAGAAGTAACTATTCTGAGAAATGTCACACATGCACTGACCCACCTAACACGGTCCTGACCTTGAGACCTGCCTCAGCCTCTGACTGGGAGGAAGGGGAGTTAGCCTGCTCCTCCTCCCTCTCGCTCTCCTCTCACACACAGGGTGGGGGGCCACTAAGAGATGCTTCAGATCCCAAGTATCCCTGAAAACATTGGGAAGAGCTCATTTCAACATGAACTTCCTTTGTTCTAAGTGCAAGTACAAGTGTTCTTATTTCTAAAAGCTAAGGAAAATGAACCATTCCTCCTAAATGGTAAGAAACATTCACAGGTTGGCACACTGACATGGGTACACTTTACGGGAATAGTCATAAGATTTAAAAACACTTATTTATTCTTTCCCAAACCTGACCACCAGATCAATAGAGCCTGGTATACTTGCAGTAAATTACAACCAGGAGTCTATTTAAGAACAAGTTATTAGGGAAAAACCCACCAGGGGAGACCGATAGGACAGAAGCAGGCACTGCAGCCTCTGACACACAGTTACAACAAATACTAACAGCCCAACTGAGATAAGTATAAAACCACACACTAAAGGCCTGATTACTTCCAGTTCTGTCATAACATCATTTTTTTAATTAACATTAATGCACAATCTCATGAAGGTTTTACTTGAGCAGCATTGCAAACATAATTTTTACCATCCAGCAAAAAATGGTAAGGTGGACCCCTCTAGAAATCACTAGCAATAAGAGAAGTGAAATATTTAACAAATTGAAAGAAAAAGAAAATAAACTGGAGTTCCGTATCCCATGATGCTCATTGAGAAGTGGACAAGTCCTTTCTCAGACAACAAAAATGGAAACATTTGTCAGTAGATCAGACTTTTAGGAGATGTTAAAACTCAATGAAAAAAATTATGTATATATATATATACTTACATATATGAGGAATGTACATATATATATTTACATGTGCATATGTATAGATGAGAATATCAGTTTTACATAAATGAAGAGTTAAGGTAAATATTTTTCTCAGTGGACATCTTGGTTTGTTTTCAAAATAATAGCAATTATGTATGTATAGCTTATAAGTAAAATGAATGACACCAGTGAGAATTGGGAATATGCTGTCAAGGTCTCTAGCCTGCCCATGAGACAGTACAATGTTATTTTAGAGGATCTGCGTGGTTGTTAATGTGTTTATAAACTGTATTGGAATCACTGCAAATTTTTAAAAATAGGTATCATCGATTTGCTAAAAGAGAACATGGAATCTGGAAATCTGACGAATCAGATTTCCAGAAGGAAAGAAAACAGAAGGTGAAGTGAATGCAAAACAATTATATCTGTGTCCCTTTCAAGGTAAAGAACCATATATTGTCTAGAAAATACACACTTTACATATAAATGCAGACAAGTTAAAAGAAATGGCAAAAGGTGTATCATTGCTGCCATAAACAAAAGTTGGAGAAGCTACATTGACTTTAAACCAAGCCAAATTCAGAACAAGGAAAATTATCCGTGCTAAAGAGAGGCATTGCATAGTAATAAGGGGATCAACACTCCAAGAAGTTACCACACTCCTTAATTGCTGTGCATCTAACAGAGCCTCAAAATACATGAAGCAAAACCTGATAGGACTGCAAAGAAAAATAAACATGCTTATTGTAAGAGTTGGAGACTTCGGCAGCACTCCATCAGTAACTGAAATATCCAGAAGGCAGAACCTAGGACAGATTTCAACTGAGTAGAAAATCACTTATGATACAACTGGATCTGACATTTACAGAATATTTGATTCTACAGCAGCAGAATACACATTTTCTCATGCACATATGAAATATTCACCAAGGTGGATGCCATTCTGTGCAGTAAAACCCACCACAATATGTTTAAAAGAAGAGACATTACTATGGGATGTATTGTGTGTTCCCCCAACCCAACTTCATATGTTGATGTCCTGACCCCCAGTAACTCACAATGTGACTGCATGTGGAGATGGGGTGTATGAGGAAGTAACCAAGTGTACATGAAGTCAGTAGGTTGGGCCCTAACCCAGTAGGACTGCTGTCCTTACAAACATGAGAAAGTATGACATAGGCACAGAGATCATGTGAAGGCAGCAGAACAGCCACCCACAAGCCAAAGGGGCCTCAGAAGACGACAGCCCTGCTGACATCTTAGTCCTGGAATTCTTGTCTCCACAGCTGTGAGGAACTCAACTGGTGTTGTTAAAGTCCCCCAGTCTGTGGTAATGAGTTATGGTGGCCCCAGGAGGCTAATGCCCACATCATAAAGAGTTTACTGTGTGATCAAATGAAACTAGCACTGAATAACAGAAACACACATCAATATACAAAAATACGTGCAAATTTATTAATGCACTTCTACAGGACACATGGGTTAAGTATTCCCTGGGGATAATATTTTATAAGTATTTTGAACTACATGAATGAAACACAATTTGTTGAAATTTGTGGAATGCAGTGAAAATATTGTAAAGAGACGGTTATACCAGTGATGCACATATTAGGAGGGAAACAAATAACAATCTGTCTATTATATAAAACTAAAAGGTAAGAGCAGTATAAACTTTAAGCAAGCAGAACAAGAATGAATGAACCATGGGGGAGAGATCAATGAAACTGAAAACAGGAAACCAGTAGAGGAAATCAAGGAAACCGAAAGCTGTTGCTTTGAAAAGATCAAGGAAACTGATGACTTGTTATTTTAATTAACAAAAAAGACAGCAGTTACTAATATCAAAAATTAAAAGATGAACCATCACTATTGATCCCATGTGTATGAAAATGATAATAAAATAATATTCTGTACAACTCTGTGTCCACAGATCTGAAAAATTAGGTGAATTGCACCAAATGATTGAAAGCCCCAGTCTACGAAGGCTCATACAAAAAGAAATGGGTACCATCAGTAGGATCATATCTAGTAAAGAAATTGAATCAATAATTAATGACTTCCCAAAGGAGCAGGCACCGGGCTCAAATGGTTTCACTGGTGAATTCTATAAAATGTTTAAAGAAGGAATTATGCCAATTTTCTACAATCTCTTCTAGAAAATAGAAGTAGGGGGAACACTTCTTAACCCCTTCTCTGAGGGCAGTGTCACTACCCAAAGAAGAGAGAGACATTAAAAAGAAACCTACAGACCAGTGAATCTTATGAACATAGCCATGAAACTCCTATTAGTACCTAATTTCCAACAATATATAAAAATAATTAAATGACGTGGCAAGACAATATTCCAGGCATCAAGTTGGGATCATTATTAAAAACTTTTAATCAGAAAACAATTTTTTGTGTTTTCTTGATCATTGATTTAGTTTGTCCTCTCTCTGTAAGCTTATGTCTTTATGTT